CCCCCAAACTGGTCCATTTCTCAAGGTTTAACTTATACAGCAAAATTCAGAGGGTTTGAAGGTTTGAAGGAAGACTAAAGTTATCACTGTCTTCTATACATTTTCCTTTACAACCTGATTACTTTAGAAATTAAAATTTTTTCTTAAATCTTAGAACGTATGATCATGAAGTACTACATTTAAAAATATTTATCCTTCTATAAAATTATTTAATGGAAGATTAAATTCTGACTGAAGATGCTCTTCTATTTATATGCTCTTGTAACCTGAATTTTTAGTATAGTCACTAGTAAGAGCCTTTGTAAGAGAAAATATTTTGAATAACACTACAGTGGTTGTCATTGTTTATTAGTAAAATAGATCTTAAAGTCTACAGTATACAAAAAATCACCTCCATCTACGTTCATTTTCTGTTTTGTGTATTTTTATTCCTCATTCTATTTTTTCATTCTTTAATGGGTATGTTTACAATTAAATAAAATCTGTAATTTTCTTTTTGAATACTTTGACCACAAATATCAAGTATTATTCTGAATTAATTGCCCCAAAAGAAGTAAAAAATACACTAGATTCTATCTCTGTAGACACTAGTAACTTCATAAAAGTGAATACCCTACATAGGCATGTTAAAAATGTAAATTATTAGAATATTGTGATTTTATCAGGAGAAAGATTTCAGATCTGGAAGGTACACAACTTCCATATGACAAAATCTCCTGTCTCTAATTTCGGATAATATCCTGTAGATGACCACAGAACATGTAACACAAACTGATAGTTAAAAAAAAAAAAATCAAAACAAAGTGTTATGTGGATAATATTTTTTAATATGCCTTATTTGTGTTTAAAAAAGATCAGTGGAAAAAAAAAAAGAGGTCAGCTTCCAGTGATGAGGGTTCTAATCCAGACAACAAAGAACTCAGTGGGAAACTTCCCATTGTTTTTAGTTAGACTTAATCTGACTCTTTATTAGGAAAAAGGAATTACAGTCAGAGCAAAATACCTCTGCACATATGTGTGTGAAGGGGTGTTTGTAGGTGGGTGATGGATGGGGAATGTGTGTATATATATGAATACACAATTATACATATATAAACACACATAACTCATTATTCAGTGTAACAGGATTAGCAAGCAGTACAAATGAAACGACTGCCTTTCAGACAAGGCTAGTTTACTGTTATTGGGGTTTGGTTTTATTATACTACCATATACACTTTCATAAATATTGCTGACAAAGTTAATATGCAAGAAAGGAACACTTTTCTTACTCCCATCGAAGATGCAATAATCAAATCATAAAACACAAAACCAATAGCCAACCAATGTGAATAAGTCTGCCCATAGGCTTAATTCAAGCAAGCCATTCACTGAGCTATGTGATGGATCTGTCAAATCCAATACAGCATTACAGACATAGTAGCAACATCAAGTGAACATGCAATGACAAAATGACAATACGCCCCACTGCCATGCTTTGACTTGTTCTACCTCATAAATATAAAACTTGATGAGTTGGCTAGCTCTCTAACTTCAGACTTGGACAGAAATCTAACAACTATTTTATTTTTATTTCTAAAAATATTCCATACAAGCTGAATAAAAGCTGCACAAACATATTACTGACATCTGATTAATTTTTTCCACTCTCTATTTAAGGAGTCTCGCAGGCAAAGCTCCAGAATGGTGAAGTACATATATAAACTAGTAGGTCCTCTTTTATCAGTTTTGTGAATTGGAAAATTTATTGGAAATATTTTAAATATTGGAAAGTTAAACATGATTGTTGGTTCCCTTTCTGCAAAGAACTTTGAATCTTTAAATGCAATTCAATATGATGATAGATCACATGGTAAAAAGTCCACTTCTAAATTTGTCTGAAGTTATAATCAGTTGTTATATTGCTTCATAAACAGAACAAAAATGTACCTGTTTGTTTGTTTTGCTGTTTTTGTTTTACAGTCTTAAGAAATGACTGGAGAAATCTGTAAGGTCTACCTCCACTGTGAAATTGCTTTTAGTAGTACATGATTTGTCACAAGAAATATGTAGGGATTTGCATTGATTTGTTTCATGAGATTTCCTTGCCACCTGATTCTCCCCTATATATTTGTTCTTTGCCTATTTCCAGCAGTATTTCCAGCTGTGACAAACAAGGATACCATTGCATTTCTTCACAATAGAGCTCTCTTCCAATGATCATAATCCACTGACTTGGTGTATTGATTCTGGAATATCAAATCTTTCTGTTAACCATTATTTTTAATTTACCAAAACATGTCTCCAATCTAAAGATTTCCTCTTTCCATCTCCTGGTTTAAGAAGCATGTCAAATATGGAACATTTGCATGGATTATCTATACAAGCTGTGATAAAAAATAAAGCTTTTTGATTTTTTTTAATTAATATGAAGTAGTATTTCCATGATATGTTACTTCTTGAATGGTACACACTCACTGGTCCTCAATTCATTTTTCTGGGCGTTGTTTACACATAAACAGCAATGTATTTCATGTGTAATTAAATTAAAAGGAGCTCAAAGACTAAGTAAGAGTGGTGTATAGGAAGATATGGAATGTTCAATATTGCCAGAGGACAGCAGATGATCATCACATTGAGAAGAAAAGAAACAAGCAGTGTTACTGAACTATATTTCAGTACTTTCAATACTAGTAACTGACAAAAGTTGCTGAATTAAATTCATTAAAAAATGGAAAGCTAATCAAATTAAGCAAACTGGCTGTGGGTAATCAGAGGTATCCACGTTTGCACATAGTTTCCCATATGCAAAGAAATGTTTGAGCAGATTGCTCTTTATTTTGTTCTCTATGCTAGTTTTAGAGTTTTCCCATAAAGAAATTCCATTACAGTATTTGTAATTAAGACAAGAAACCATATTTATTTGGGGGAAGCAGATCAAAGATGAAGGTCAACCACATTTAAAAGGAGAAGCTAAATAAAAAAAAAAAAATCCAAAAGATATAAAATTCATTTAAGATATTTATGCAAGCAGACATGTTATTACAATCCTAATTATACACAGAGTGTATCTGAAAATTAGACATTTTTTCAAAAAGTAATTAAGGGTTGTAAACCTGCATAACTACTGATGCCATCTCAAGCTTCCTTTACAGCATTTAAGAGCACTACCTTCTTAAACAAATCCTTTACTTTTTTTCTCAGCATAACTCTTCGTAGTGTTGACTCTCTACCCATAAGAGAACATGTGATCAACTAATGTTTTAGCTTACAGCATTTGATTTATTTTATGAGAAAGTACATTAATTCACAATTAAAGCATTTAAGATATCTTGATATTGTTCAGTTACTCTATGTAATGTACAGGTTTTCAGAAATTCATTTATTCATAAGAATAAACATCCTACAAAATGATCCAGGGACACCTGAATGCTGTCTGGCAAAAAATGACTAACCACAGGAGGTAATTTATAATTTTGTCCTTTAAGTTTAGTAACCTTTTAGAAACAGGAACTGCTTTGCATTAAAAGCTCACAGAAAAATAATAGAGCTGCGACATGCTAACACACCTTTGTGGAAATGAAATGAAACTACTGAGTAGCACTTCACCTGTGTAGGTTACCCTAAGTAGAAATAGTACATTGTGAACACAGTGCCTACAGCACATATCTAGTTGATATTACTGATCCAAAATTAATAGAAAGTAACTTGCTTACCTGTCTGACACAGCATGCCTCAGCCATACATGCAAATTATTTTATTCACATAACTTTAAAAAAATATATCTTCATAATAAGATAAGCATTTGAAAGGCAAATATGCATGCATAGCATTGTAACATTCATACCATGGTATTTTGTTCTAAAAATACAGAATCCATGAACAGCACTTCAATCTAACAAATAGTTTACTGAAATGTCTTAATCTGTTGATTTCTTTAAGAAAAAGAAACATTTTAAATAATGTCTAATTTAGCATCTAAAGAACTTTTTCAATACACATTCAGGACTTAAATTATCTCCATGTTTTCAAGGGAAATTTTTTCATATCAGGAACTCAGAAGTGTGACCTGCTGCTAATGTGAAGCAAAATATATGCAACTGTCTGTCCTTCACAATTCACATCCTCCCTTTACAATTGTACCCTGTTCAAGTACTTGAAAAGTATTACGGAGAGCACAGATTTTGTTAGGGAACACTTTGTGAAGAAAACATACGATATTCTATCTTTTCATTATAAAATCATGTCTACATACTGCAAAGACTTAATTTTATGCAATTTGACAAAATCCTATTCCTACTGAACTCAGAAGCAATTTAGACATTGACTTCAAAGGGGGGGTCTCAATTTTTGTCTTGCAAGAAGACAAGTTAATTTATCTGGCCTCATTTTTAGTTTTTAGAAGTTAAATCTTTACATGTTTCTCTCATGCAGATTTTAATAATCTTTTATTATTAATTCCACCAAATGTGGTTTACATTTTGAGGATAAAAATACAGAGCAAATGAAGAATAACCTAGTTTTTATCACTATTTAAAAGACATCAAATCTCTGGACAGAAAGCAAATGGAAAAAAATCTTGAGCCTTGGAGAGCTCAAGCTTAGACACAGTTCATTTTCAATTTCCACTGACTAAAACAATGTCATTGAAAACTGAGGACACTCAATAGGTTCAGGTTCCAAATCAACTGAAATAATACTCCTAAGACAAATAATGATCTTTAGTAGCAGACCATCATGAAGCTGTACATATATTTATGTACACTGTACAAGGGTCACAGATATTATTAACTGGATGACCTACAGCTTGGGAATGTGCACATTTCATGCCTGATTTTCAATTAAGGCCTAAAATCTCTCAATTTATGGCTATTCATGGATTATAATAAAACAGCCTGCTTTAGATATCACAATTATCTGCAGAGCAACAAGACAGTTATGAGACTTCAACAAGGCAAATTCATAGAATCATCTTCAACTTCCACTAGTCAAATATTTATTAGCAGTAAATGAGGACTTACCTGTCACTGTAGGCAGCTGCAGTGGCAGTGGCAGGCTGGGCATACCGGTAGGCAGCATAACCACCCTGAAACACAAACTCAGGCTCTAACTGGATTGCTACAGCACCCTTAATAACGTTGCACAAAATTTAGCAACAACTGAAAGAGTGTCCCATGCTGTAAGCTCAGTTAAGGGGTGAAATACATAGGAAATGTTTCAGTGAATCATTAAGCAAAATTTATCATGACAAACTTGTAATTTTTAAGATATGTCCCAGACATCAGGAGAAAGCAACAAACAGTATGCATCAACATAAGCTTTTTTTACAAGACAATACTATATTCTTCAAAAATTTGCAAGTAGCAATTGAATTATGTGTACTGTGTATTACTAAAGCAGTGCTGAACTTAAAAAAGAAATCCTCAGCCAATAATCAATTATTTTTTGTACAAAATACAATTTATCATGCCTGGTTTATTAGACCTATGAAACTGTGCACTCAATTAACACTTAATGTTTCATCGGTTTCCAATTTCTACATAAAATTATAATGAAGCAGCAAAATCCTCTTCGTCCATGAATTAACATTCAGTTGTATGTAACAGTAATTCCAGCTGTTCAATTAAGCAAACAGGACAAACAAACACACATTTGAAAGGAATTGTGTGCAGTGATGCATTGATTATCAAACTGTGAAAACAGCAGAGCTTCCTGTTCAATGGACTACGGTGTTATATCAACCATTTCAAAATGATCTCAGCATGCCAATTAACAAACACAGGCCAGTCTCCACAGATAACACAAACACAATTTACGTCCCAATTAGAATTCACCACCCCACCATCCTCTGGGACAGGGGACTTCTGTATTTCTTCTCCCACCTTCCCCAACCTTAACAAAGAGCTGAACAAGAAAGGATCACATCACTCAGCTTTGAATAAAATTCACTCTTTTGGTAAAGTGTTCACTTTAATGAATTGATTTTTCCCTCTCCCTCTCTCACTTTCTCTTTCCCCCTCTTTTTGGAAGGCTGCATTCACACATGTATTTTGCTGAAGCATGAAGAATAGGCTACAATGTGTCAACTTCTACTGTAACTACTGTAACAGGAACTTTTGTGGGGTTTCTATTTTGACTTTACAAATCAGAATTCACACCTTTCAGAAGAGTGATTTCACTACTTTTACAAGCTGTTTCCCCTTCTACTACTCTGCTTGGCAAAATTGCTTTCATCCCAAACATATATAAACCTTTGTTGGTTTGAAGCAGGTCGGTTTTGGAAATCAATCATTCAGGTGATAGCATCACGTCACCCTAAGAGTAAATATATGTTTTACATATACTGACAGCTCATCAGAAACCCCAGCCTCTGAATTTTCAACTTACTTGAGGAACATTCTTTCTAAGTTTTTTAAGTGCTAACACAGAGGATAGCACATTTACCTCCCCACTCTTGGTCAGCTCCCTGCCAGCAGCAATTGTGTTACACAAGCACTGGAATAAGGCAGGTGCTTTCATAATGCCATATAATAATATATATGCCCTTGCTTTTACAGCAGGCTGCTTCTCTGCAAGCACGGAAGAACTGAGATTAAATACTTCCCCATTTTAGATCAGTTGATTTTTATAAACCAATAGAAAGCTATTACTGTCAAAAATGTATAATAGGCACATATTGCTTGCAGGTATGTGCATACAGGCAATCAGATGTCAAATAATGTCACCAAGTGCAAACTAAGCCACCAAACAGTAAGGCTGAAAGACGATAATGTAAGCTGCACATTCAGTCTGGCTTCTGCTAAAAGGAGCAAGGAAAGGGATTATACAAATTTATCCACTCTCCCTCCTAGTTTTTGAGTGCTAAATATATCATCCTATCATTTTGTTTCCTTTTCCCTTTCCCTTTTCCCCTGAGTGCTGGTATGAAGAAGTACAAACAGTGAATGTATAGAGAAGATATAAAACTTGTTTTCATTATCCAGTCCTGAAAACGTGTGGCAGAGTGCAAGTCATCCTGCAGTATGACACGATTCTGTTTGCAACACGCATGACTCCTTCACTTGTTCTGTAGTCTATTTCTAAACCACCTGATTTAAATGTGAGAGCCACTTCATTTCAATCCAGTCACATACATAATGACACTGCAGTACAGAAGTGAGAATGGTCCTCCACGAGAAGTTTTGGTGTTATTAATCAGATAAAAATGAGACCCACTGCTCACATACTGGCTGTACTTAAATCTGCAGGTGGAAGGCTCTATGAGAACTGTTTCTCTTGCCCTTAACTACTTGCATAGTTAAACTATCTATTTAACTAGATTGGTCAGTCTATGAAGACAGACCCTTTCTTGTTCCCTAAATATAAGAATTAGATTCCTTTTATGATTACATTATGGTTTGGTTTCATCACAGAACTGCTGCTGAACAATGAAGTTCAATTCAACAATTAGTATGACATGTGTGAGATACCTGGAAAGACTGAGACTAAAGCAATACAAATAAAAGAGATCAAAGTTTTTTAATTTGCCTGAATTCTTTGAAGAACTAAAATCCAGGATACATTTGGTTACCAGGAGTATCATAAACCCCTACCAGCCTATGTCATGGCTTCATGTTTTTAACATAAGCTATCCTGTAAGAAAACATTCTTAAACATATTATTTTTATGAGGTTTGAGTCCTGCAGTACTAAGTTTTGCTACTGTCTTGTTTCAGTTACTTAGATGACCTATCACTGCAGCAACAAAATGTTTTAAACTGGGGATCAGTATGGAAAACTGATTCAAACCCCTGAACTCTAAACTTCTGTGATGAGTTCTATTTTATTTTCTAATTTTGAACTTGGTTGATATCTTAGATTAAAAACACACAAGTGATATTCACTACATGTACACCTCGAGTACTACAATAAATATTTATCGTAGTACTCAAGTATAACTATTTAAATATTTGCCTTAGACTATATCACAAAATAAAATATCTAGAACAAAATAATAATTACATACTAATAATAATTTTCAGTTCCTATGTTTTATAAATACTTTAGGAATTCTTCCCCCCCCCCACTCCATTTATTCAAACGGAAAGTATGTGTTATGCTTTAAATTGTTACCTTTCAGATTCAGCCGAAATAACAAATTCAGCTAAAATAATGAAAAATAGTCTGTTGCTTTATCTGTGCTCCCATATTTGATACTTCCAAAACAACGATAACACAATGTTAGCAGTTTAAGTTGTCTTACAAAATTAAGTATAGAGTCAGTACACTCACAGTCCAGATACAGAGATTTATCTCACTAGCATAAAATACTGAACAAGACACTCAAAACAATAACTGTATATTTCACGGGATATGAAGAATAGCTGTGATTTTGTGGTAAGAGTCTGGAAAATAAAAGGCAACTGTCTGCTCTTATCACTTATAGACACATAATCCACTTTCTCATAATTATTTGAGTATTAGTATGACTTTACAAGAGTCTAAATTCAGTGTAATGAATTTTTTCCAGCAGTCTGCATGTCATGCCTGTGGTAACTTACTGCCATACACAGGCTCTTGCAATACTGCTCCATAAAGCAACAGAAATGAAATGATTTGAATGAGTAAGGAAAGAAGGAATGTAAGGAAGGAATTCAGACAAATTCTCCAGAGCCACACATTACAATTTTCCTTCTGATGTTTCATAACTCTTCGTGGTTCAGGCAAATTGGAAAAGAGCAATGGGATCCATTGAAGATCAGTAGCCAATTGTTACAGAGAATCTTTATGATTTTTAGAATGAAATGTTAGAAATTTTACATCAGGTATGATAAAATGGAAATGAACAGGAAATCAAATGCATCTGAATTTTTAAATAAAGTCTATATATCTGAGTAAGTATAACTCCTACAGAAATGAGTTATAAAAACACACATCTGCAGATTACAAAACGATGTATATACATGTGTGCACCTCCTCCTAAAATACCTGAACTTTTATTTTATCTTGATATCAGATGTACTGTCAGTTTTTACCACAGATAAAGGTAAACAAAGTGACTCTATATGATGGACATTTTCTCATTAGTTTTTCCTATTACTAACATATTTCGTAGAATCATAGAATAGGGTTGGAAAGGACTTTAAGATCATCTAGTTCCAATCCCCTGCCACAGGCAGAGACACCTTTCACTCAACCAGGTTGCTCAAGACCCTGTACAACCTCACCTGGAACACTGCCAGGGATAGAGCATTCACCACTTCTTTGGGCAACCTGTGCCACTCTCACAGTAAAGAACTTCTTCCTTATATCCAACCTAGATCCCAGAACTTTTAAAAAGGCATTGCATAATGTTCCAGCACATGGAGCACTAGGAGGAACAACCCTCTGCTACTTGGGAACTCTTTTTCCCTTTGAAAAGCCATTTCTCCACTGTTCTGTGACAGAAATGGCACATTCTTTCATTTACAAAACACGAAACACTTTGGTACTTAAAGGAAGGACTTCAGGATTAGTTGCATATCCTTGCTTTTCACATTAGAACCGCACCTTCAGGGATTCTGACTGCATCAACGGTCTTCGACCTAGTAACAAGGGAATGCTGCTTTGATAGTAGTATCTGGTTTTTGCTTGGGAAGTATGTAAGCACTTTACCCTCAATACCACCTGACCTTTGAGCTAAAGGCAGCGGCAGTAGCTACTGATAACCTCGTTCCATACCCCGATCACAAAAGCATGCCTTGTTCTTGATTGGCATCTTAGGAAAAAATCTTATATTGTTGTTGCAGTATCACAGGTCCAGCATTCTGAGAACAGGTTAGAAAATCTTGCTGTGAATGGTAAGACTGACTAATGTACATGGTTCAACTGTATAGCCAAGGGACTTCTGAAGCTGGTGATGACAGAGTTTGGAAGTTACTCATATTTCTTTGCCTTTCCACATTTAAGTTGTGGACTGAAGACTGGCATGTTCTGAACACATTCTTTATGACAGTGGCAAAAAAACCCAACAAATCAGATTTAAGATAAAACAGAGCAATAGTGTTGAGCTATTATTCTACCTGCATATTTCTGTGTATGTTACTATCTTTGCTCCATTTTGTAGAGTGAATTTTGATATTTTCATAGGTGTCAATCTTCATCTAGGAACTCCTATATTTGCTGGCAGGCAACCTTAATTCTGTTTTAATGACTTTTTCTTTTAGTGAATCAATACTTAATTTTAAAAGGTCTTCCTTAGTTCCTAATAATCTCCTTTATTTTACCCACTCAAAGGCACATTTAAAAAGGAATTCAATATCTCTGCTATTTCAGAAGCATTATTACCTTCCATAGAGAACTACACGAAATACAGGATATATTAAATCTAGAATCATGGGTGTTGATTTTTTGGTTTTGACTGTTCTTTCCACTTTTAGTTCTATTCTCTTATATTCCCCTTGTTAGTATTAAGCAACTCTGGCTATTTGCTGTTCTTGGTTCCCCAGGCACTTTTGACCCAACCAGTATCATTCTTGGTCTTCCCACAAAATCAACCATCAAAATCTATATTGATAGTTACGAAAACAACAGCATGGTCTATATTACTGTTGGTTCTCAATGTAAACATCAGAATGAAACACACTTTGATATACTTGTTAATGCATATTTTTGGTCTGGCTTCTCAATACTGTGTTCCTTCTGTTTTGCTTTCTATGGTATTTTTAAGATTCCTTTCCCTACACCTACTATTAAATCTACTATTATCTACTATACTATTAAATCTACATTATCTACTATAGAATCTACCATTAAAACCTACATTGTTTATTTTTTCTCCCTTTTTCCACATAGCATAATTCTTTCACAAAGCTTCAGCACTGCACTTAAAATGAAAAGCCAAGTATAACTATGTCATAATAAATTGGGAATTAAGAAGTGACTAGTCCACTGAAAAGACACTAAGAACTAATACACTGTGAACTTCAGGGTTTCTTTTCATTTATACCAGTTTTCCCTCTCTCTCCCCCTCCCTGCAAAATGTTTTATATGCAAGAAAGAGCAGATATGAAGAAAAAATAATTATACGATAAGAAGCATTGTACATTATAAAAAAACACCCCCAAAGCACAAAAAAAAAAAAAAACCAAACCAAACCAAAAAACCCCACAACAACCAACCAACAACAACAACAACAAAAAAAAAAAGAAAAGAAAAAATTTCCAGAAGAGTGTTTTAATTCTGTGAACTGCTGCAAAGGTAAACATCCTGTTGCAATAAGAAAACTAAGAAATGCAATCAGAAATACAAGGCTGCAACCGAGTGAAAAGCAGTGCACCAGTTTAGTTATTCTATTTCCTAATGCACCTGACTATTCGAGACCACAAAGCTGAGGCTACACTAGAAATTTGTAATTTCTTTCTTATCTTCCTCATTGAAAGCACTTTCAATTTGGAAACAGAATGTTAAAGTCTGTGAGAGGGTGTGAGGACACCTAAAAATAGTACTGTCAATCACAAAAAGAGATATTCCTGGTTTTCAGCAGCAGTGGGTTCCAAATGTACAAACTGTTACATTAGCAGTTGGTTACCACCTGTACTATCACATACAGCAATCCTGAGAAAGATGACTTGTTGCCTTTCAGATTTTGGGGTCAGTAAACTGAGCAAAATGAATGTCATATTCTTTTGACAGTTTGAAGAACTATGGAAATGGAAAACCACACCTGAAGAAATTCCACATTCTACCATGTCTCCTACATAGCTCAAAAATTCATCAGGATTGCATTGAGAGATCAGAGCACCATACTATACCTGAGTAAGCCTTTGGCAAATGCTTGATGCTTGTGTGTTGCAAACAATATGTTACAGACTGCATGACTAAGTACGTAAGTACACAGGGAGAGAATTTTAACCCATGCTAATTTATTTTAAATATATGTTTTAATCTACACAAATGAATTTTCAGGTAAGTATCAACCCCCCTTCTATCTCCATCAGAAAAATCAAAACCTACTTCATCCATAAATTCTTTTTTTTTTCTTCTTTATATAAGACTTATTAAACAAACTATTGTCTTGGAAATAGTTCTAAAAAGACTGCTGATAATGAATACAACAAATGTTTTCTATACTACCTATTGAATTTTTAATATTCATACCAATTTCAACTCATCCATCTCTTTGTATCTCAACAGAGACAGTACAACAGAAGTACAAGTAAGTAGAGAAAGCTGTCTGGTGAAAGAAAGATACCTGTAACTTAGAACCAGACTGATACAAACGTGAAAGATTACTGAGTATGACTAAAATATTTTCCATTTACATAGATAAGAATTAGTTATTTCAGAAGAGTGAAATTAAGCCTCAACTTCTTGCATACTCAGACATAAGTAGCCTCTTTGCATACACCCAAAGTAAAAAATTCAGTATTGGTAAGAAACTTAAATACTATTTAAAAGGAAACTGGTGACCAATGAAGTGAACTAGATAATGATGGATCTAGGGCTATAAACATTTACTAACAAATATAGTTACTTCTTATATCATAAACAGTCTCTACTCCTTTAAACTGAAATAAGTGGATTTTAAAATGGAAATATACTCAGATTACAGAAAATGCATAGCTGTACCTTAAGCTTACTATGTAATTCAGCTCTTCTATCACCCTGGCACTTATGTATACCCAGGGTTGCTGGATTTAGGAAACCTATCTCTCTCCATAAAGTATTTTCATACTTCAAGTATTAATAATACTCTGCTTGCCTTCATTTTTAAAGAATGAGTTTCTGGGGATTTGCAGAAGCATTTTTCTGCTTTGGTTTTGTTTTTTTTCTTTCTTTGAACTTCAATTTTGAAGGGAGACACCCCTCCACACATGCACACACATTTTTCACATATTTTTGCATTCATTCAGCATTTGATTGAAGAGTTAATTCAGCTCCACTGAACAATGATAGATGTAATGAACAGAAAGGTCTTCCAATGTGAGAGATATTCTTCTCAATTCTTTCTGACAGGCAAGGGATGGTAAATAGACAATACAGAGTCAGGCTAGGCAGCAAACTTGTAAAAAGAATGACTCTGGTAATGTACAAGGACAGCATGCACATCAATGAATACTTACATAAATGTCTGCACCATAAAATCCATCCTGGTATACAACACTGCAAGGATGCACACACAAAGAAAAACATCCATATTAGTGCATTTCCACATGCAAATGCCACCAACCCCTGCACAGCTGAGGTTAGTCTTGTCACAAGAACAGAGGGAGGGGGGAAAGAAGGCACTCTTCACATTGGTTAAGGAGGTTGGTAGTAATTATCAGAAGTGAAACTGTACCAAATACAATATCTTATAAGGTATGCCAAATGCTTAGTCATAGAGAAGCAAAGCATGGCAGGATTGAAAATACCTTTGATAAAGTTTTAGTATTTTTTTTTATTTCTTCTTTTTTTTAGGAAGCCACATATTGGCAGCACTTTTATAAAAAATTTCAGTGGGCCAACCCTACAATCAGTTTTAATAGATTAACAAAATGCTATCTCCTGAACTACTACTTTCTTGTCCTGCAATTATGTCAACCCTCTGAAACAAAGCAGTAATTGTCACTACTTAGATGAAAAAAACTCCACAGTAGAATTTTATATGGTGAGAGGAATGTGTGAAATAATTGTAGTGGTGGTGTTTTAACCACTGGGTCAATGTACACAGAGATGAGAGTATTCATAGATACTGCACTGTTGGATTGCTACACAGTTCCGATAGTGACAACAGGTCTGTTCAGTATGTCATGGTGTTATTCTTACTAAAAAAAGTATTAACCATCCTCACTGTATCATTTTACACTTTTGGTGAACATGCCAGTGGTTCTGAGCTCCCCTGCAGTTTTGGCTGGCTCTGTTACTATCCTTCATTTGAAAAAATGTAGTATTTTATATTGCTGTTAACAGCTTACCCAGAGACTGCTGCGTTTCAGCTAAGATAAATCATCAGTGAAAACAGTTTAAATGACACAGTATGAGAAACATCGTTCAAATGATTACACTAAATAAAACTGGAGCTACACACCAGTGGCCTACCAATTACACGCATTACACAAGTATTGCAATTTTACATTCGTTTGACAGTTCTGCAACTTAAAACGGGTATTTCCAGTATCAGAATGAACCCAAGCTGTTTTCAGAGAGCACACAATTGGCTTTTTGCAACAATACTTTCAATTTAGGAATACCATTATCTGGAATAATAGTTACTATCATGTTGCTAGCCTAAGCTGTTTTGCAATTCCAACAAGAATTTTCATGTCAGAAATATAGCTGATCTATTGAGGTCAATGACCAAAACCCACAGGGCTGAGCTGGTATGTGTCTAAGTAAGAATCACTTGAGAAAATCATAAATATGTATACACGCACACAAATGACATTGATAAAACCACACTGACAATAAAATTTTGCTATGGAATAGTAATGTGTGAAAACTCAGCTCCACTTAAGAGTGCCATTTGCTTCAGTAAGGTCAGACCTTTCCTCATGTATTTTTCTATTATGTTTGCAGAGCAATATATGCCAAAGCTGGTATATATCAGTAGCTTTCAGAGAGCTGCACTGTAGTGTACCTTCATTTTGGTTTCAACATTCTGATTATTTTAAAATATTATTTGGTTTTCTTATACGTGTTTAAGAAATAAAACATTCCACATGACCGTGAGACAGAAGTACACAATCCTGAACAACATGGAAGGAGCTTTATGAGACGGTATGCATATGATACAAAGTCTACTGATGATGGGGGCCCCACAACTCTCATTTTCTCATATCCCTGTGCCATTTGTCCTGGGAGGAGGTAGGGTTGGGAATGAAAGAGTGAAAGTGAGCCTGGGAAGAAGAGGGGGGAGGAGATCAGGGTGTTTTTATGTTCTTTGTTTCTAACCATCCTACTGCATTTTAATAGGCAATAAATTAAGCCAATTTCAAGCCACGTTTGTTTTACCTGTGATGGTAATTGGCAAGCAATCTCCCTGTCTTTATCTCAACCCAAGAGCTTTTCTATATTTCTTCCCCCATACTCTTGAGAAGGATGAATGAGAACAGAGCTGGGTGAGAGTCTGGCAGCTAGCCAAGATCAACCCCCCACAGTACACTAAAATACACTACTTTCAACTATTGTTAAACATCGCTATTCAGAAAATCATGATTTTGAGAGGATATGTGTCAGAAAGCGGACTTTTTTTCTTCCTTCTCCTGGTGATCTGTGACTATACAGTGAATATGTCAGAAGACAAATAGGGGCTGATACATTTTGAAATCCCAAGTGCAGCTGGCTGCAGTCCTGGATAGGTCACTTCATTCAACTAGACCTTCCTTTTTCATATAACACTCAGTCATGTACAGAAAGTTAGTTATTTTGAACTTTAAATATGCAGCTGCTTTTTTAAGTACTCAGCACTAAAATGAGACATGAATGCATGATTTCATCATTAAAAATGGTTAGTATTAAGATGAAGTGACAGATTCAGGCAAATAAGCATAACACTTCCAAGCAGGACAGGCGCTATGAAAAGGTATCTGCTGATTTTATGTTATTTCCGCCATATGGCCTTGTAGTGTGATAGTGATGTTAAATATAAAATCTACTTCTTTTGAGGTATGAAGAAAAGTAGTTCTTCACATCTTCATAGGTTTTTCAGAGAATATTTTCTTTATTCACTGTCCTTGTCATTCACTAACTCTTGTGACTGAATCTTACCAGTGGAGTCAAATGTATTTTGTAACAGCACTTTTTATCAGAAGAACAAACTGTAAAACACCAAGAACTATCTTTTGCTGTTGTGCATTTCTTTCCTTCAGTACATAATTTTCCAAAGGGTAATTTGCTTGGCTTATCATCCCCTTTTCTCCCTCTCAAGCTGTAGGCAGAAAACAGATGAGAAGTCTCAAGCATGGGAAGAGACTGAATGCATCACATAGGGACCCATCTCAGCAGAGCTCCTTTTACACTTTATATTCTAAAAATTGTCTTGGCAGACAGATAAATCTGGAGTTCCTCGTAAAAAAACACAGGGTCTGGAAAAATCCATGTTACTGAAATCTGAGTAACTGCACCCAGAAATGGATGATATGCTAATGCATTACCTAGAGGCATTAAAATAAGAACAACAAATTTGGGGGATTTATTCGGTTGTATTTTATGATTTTACTGTGCCAAGGAAAAGCCAGAGAAGAGAGAAATCTTAATTTAATAAGAAAACATACATCTAAATAACAGTTTATGTGGCAATCATTTCCTGAAATTATTTTTCTAGAAATATGAAACTGTTTTCTCACTAACTATTATACATTTGATTTGCATGGCTTTAGCTGATTTATTTTGGTCTCTGTGTCCTATACTCATTTTTTGTAACTATATTAAGACAAACTCTTTCCTAGTTTAGATTCTATCTTTATAATATCCTGGGAGGACTACATCTGTCTTCATTATCATTTTTGTATCTTCATCTTTCAAAAGGACTGGGTTGAATAATCTATCAATGACATAAGAAGACATTTCTTGACTGCACAAACCTTAGCTCAGTAACTTCATAGCAGCTGAGTATATACAGCCCTCGGCCATACACACAATCTGCATAAGTTAACATAAATAACCTAAGGCAGATTAAGGGCATGGAGTGATTGATTCAGTGTAACAAACAGGCATTACAATCATGATTTCATTCATTGCAATAGGAATCGTGGTTATAATTTGCTATTTCCCCTCCATTACTAATAAGAAAAAGCACCTGAGGAACAAAGGTTCTCTGTTTTCTCATTGCCAGTAGGGTTGCCTTCACTGTCCTCTACATATCTTCCAGTTTCTGGTCTTGGAAATCACCTTTTATGTGAAACCTTTCATACATGATTTATGATGCCTTCATGAAACAAATAATGGAAGAGATGCTGCTACAGCCTTATTTAAAATAAACCAAAGACTGAGAATTAAAGTAGTGCCTTTCAACACTGTAGTAACAAAACTTTATCTGTTTCAAGTTTTTAGGACTCTTAATTCCAGGTTCTTGTCTTTTCAGTTTCAGCACTTTCTGCCACAAAGAAGTTACATTATCTGCTTTGGAAAATTAATTGAGAGCATTGCTGGAGAGAACAAAGCTGGAAAACATAAATCACTATGCACTGGCAAAACACTTTTTTTTTTTCCCAGAAATCTCACATATATATAAAGCACAGAGTCCAAAGTAAGAGGAAGGTTTCTGTGAGCCCAAAGAAATATATTGGAAAAAAACCCATAACCACTGTAGCAGATGTAGTAGCTTCCAGTAATTATCCTTTTTTCATAAATTTATTATAAGGTATTGGAAAATAAAGCTTTTTCATTTTGAATCAGTTAGAATGTAGCACTTCAAAACATTTGTTTTAATAAAAGGGAAGAGTTTTTTAACAGTCTCTGTTAATTCTCCTCTACGCTCCCCAAGCATGTTTTGTTTTTTTGTAATTCTTCTTTTCAAAGAGAAAAAAGCATATTGCTATCTCCTGCTTTCCCAGTAAAGACACCAGCAGTGGAGATACGGACTGCAAGCTAGTTCTCCATTAGCTTCATCAGAACTGGAAGGAGAAGAGGGGAAATGTGAAGACAAAGCCATCACACACTAAACTTATGAATTACTTGAGGCAAATGATGCTGGAACTTTAGTTTTACTATCTACTAGTACTATTTGCAATACTACCTGATATACAGTGACAATGGCTTTTCCTCACAGCAGCATAAAGATGGAGCATCACATTCATGACGTTTTACTATTTGGCAAATTATTTCCAAGAATGGTGATGTACTAGTTGCTACAGAATTCAGAAGCAATTAAAGGTATCAAAATCAGATCACCTGCTTCCAGTACTTTGCCAAACAGACAAAAACCCTACTGCTTCTTTCTCTTTTGGCAATATAAGTACTGCTAACTGCATCCAAAATCTCTCATAAGACTACTTCTATTAGTAGCTTCTGCTTTATTAGGGCATTTCCTATACCATTAGTAGACACTTTGCCAATAAAATAGGTAATCCTACAAAGACACGGGTAAAAGCAAGGTGATTTTGGTTTTTTACATTGACAATTTTGTTTTTGTTTTTTAACAATTTAAAAATAATTATTTTGTACAAAACACTATCTAGTACCCAGAGAGAAGACTGCAAGAAACCACTAAGCTCAAATCCTCCATCATGAAGGCTGTCCCAAGAAAGAAGGTATTGAAGGAGTGTAGTCAGCTTAAAAGAGTAATTGCTTTGCTCCCCAACCAAGTGCTCAGTCTTGCTGTGAACTTCGTGGAGAGCCCCCTGAGACAAGCAGGCAATAGCTCACAGCTCCACAGCCACATCCTCCTATAGTGACAGGCTCTGATCTTCATGCACCATCAACACCACCATCTCTTGCTTCCCTTCCTCCTGCAACATAGTGTTGAAGCTAAGCTCTTCATGCAACCGAGATTTTTAAATTCTTTACATTTCAGCATTCAGATTTCTCAAAACAAATGAAACTTTACTTCCTCATTTCAGTTTCAGTAGATTTTTATGGTACATAAATGAATTATACATACAAAGTTATAAGCAAGCTGCACATTGTAGTATTTCAAGGCATTAGAAATGATGCTACAGATCCTAAAAATTAAGTATTTTCCATGAGCTAATAAATAAGATGCTATCTCAAGGAATTAGTGAAATGCCTCACTCACGAGTAAAGGAACCATTTATTATTTATGTAGTGCTACATATCTCATGAACACTGATTTCATTTTTAAATGACACATTTTAAAGCATGTGTGCTGTTCTTTGATTTATAAGATTTTTAAAGCATATGCATTGTTCTTTGATTTATAAGAAAACAATGACTTCAAATATGGCTATAATCAACGATTTTCCTCAGACCTAGCAAAGTGTGCCATATTTGCTGTTTCCCAGTAACTGTGAGGCACAGCCGAAGACAGCTTCCTGTATGAACCACACTACTTTGTTTCGCTTAATGTCCACAAGAACTTCCAAATCTGCTTACAGCCCAGGAATCATTGTCTTAACTTTGCTGACTAACAGTTTCTAAGTAAAGGTCACAGTATCAGACACCAGTGAACAAGAACATGAACAGATTCAAGGGAGACTGGATAGAAAGAAGGCTTTTGTTCTGGAGAGGGAAATACTGAGACAGTGCTGCTGAAATAAACACTAGTAAGCAGCAGTTTGGACTAGCTGAAGAAGTACATGTTCCCAGACTCAACAGCTGATTTCCAAATTTAAAGCAAAACTATTCAGTTTCAGTTCCAAAACCTTGTAATGCAAGCAAGTAAGCATGAAGAAGATGATTTCAGATGAACTATTATTTTACTTCACTAATAAGCTTTTGAAGGTTAATGAAATAAAAGAAAATGAAAAAGGTAATTTCAATCATCAGCTTTGTATTTTACACTTATATGTGGTTTCTTCCTTTAAAAGGGAAAGCAATTTTTTTTCTAACTAAATATTGCTGGAATTTGATGTAAACTTATAATTAAAATTATATCTATCACTATAAAAAAATAAATGTCCTTTATTTTTTATGATTGAAAGTATTTCAGTATGAAATTGTTGTCTGGCTCTAAAGCTGGTCTCCTTCCTAGAGTGAAAAATGAGAAATTGCTACTAAATGAATTGCAAAATAGCACTCAAAGCTTTTTCCATTTTTCTTACCAACAAATGATATTCCAAGTTGTTTGCTTCCTTCTGTAAGTTGATTCGTTCTCTGTGATCTCTTTATTATCTCTGTAATTTTCCCTGACACCTACTCCCACTGTGACTGAAAACCAGCTTCTTATGATTTATTTTCATTGATTAAGGATATTTTTCTGATGAAAATTCCTTTTTGCTTCTTTGATAGGTCAGAGTACATAATCGGTGAGCAAATCCAAATTTTACTATTTATCAGTGAAGTGACTAGCACAAGATCTAATACTCTACACCAAAGAAACTATTTCAGAATAAAGCTTTATTAATCCAACTGTGAATCAGTAAAACAGAGGTATGCATTATTTTTGCACTGATCCATGAATTACAGAAGTTTTAGAATTGTTTTGTGCATTGGAAAGCAGTGCCTTTTTATAAATCGTGAGTGGATAGAGAAAATTAAACCTGATTGATATTTGAACTGAGACCTACCTAACTTAAGACAAAACTTACTAATTGAAAACTGTTGCAGAATCAAGTCGTGTTAGAAAACATATTAACTATCAAGGTGAATCCTAGATTGCCAAGGGTCTGTCTCAGACAGTCATAAGAACAATGAGAAGATGTGACTTCTTAATGATGCAATGCATGGCTCCCTCTGAAGTCAGATTTAAGGACAGGTCACAGAGGTAATATGTGAGATCTGTCCATCCTAGCTGTCAAATCAACCTGCAGAACATAAGAGTGATGAGCTGACTTCTTGGAACCCAGTTCTGAAACACTGTTCAACCTGACTGCAGTGCAAAACTTACAGCAGGAGTTCACAACACTTACACATCTAATACAATATCTAAGGATGCTGAAAGCAGTGCAATTACATGAGGATATAGATGTATTACACTTGCAAATTTAATTCTTCTTGCTGAGTCACTGTAACAACTGAACTATAAGAATTTATATAGCACACACATATATACACACAGAGCATTCACATGTGGCCCCTTAAAGTAAAGTAAACTTAAGTTACTTACTGGTCTGAAAGCATTTACTCTTTTTTTAAACACTAACAAAGACAGTATTGTTCAATTCAAAACCTATCACATATAGCTGGTATATATTTTCTTACATAACTTTATGACTTTGTATTAAACTAAGGTATTATGTTCATGACAGCATGAAACCAGTAGTACTGCCTGTTGTTATCTCGTTACGTATTGCACTCTGTGTTCAAATTTAAGAATTTATTTTTAAACTAAGTGGAGATGGAAAGAATCCACTTTCTTTCTATACAGTATCCATTTTGTAGCTGACACATTCAGATTGGAAGTGGCTCTTGCAGGGCATTCTAAACTTGTTCCCATCATTGTCATGTACAATTACACGGATTAACTCCAAATGAGACCCTGGGAAACAGTAGGATAACTTTGGTGGGACACCATTCTTACCCAAACGTAACCCAGGCAATCTCCAAAACTCATGGTGATAATCCAGTAGTGGTAATAGCTTTGTTTAGTAAATTAGTATTATTTTGCTTATTAAACTACACAAAACACTGAAATGAAAAAAAAATATCACTTCTACGAAGTAATGACTCTCTAGCATCATTTTTATACTCATTTTTAGATCATCCTACTTGTCTGAGGTGGTAATGGCCCAGTGTGAATGGTCAAAGTTCCTGTCTTCAATATCCCTGAAAACTTAGCCCAATGACTGCCTGCTTAGAGTAGTACAGTTGTTTAGAAAAAGACATCCCTTCTGGCTTAATAGAACAAAGGCTTAACGAGACACCATGGGAAGTAGAGAAGTGCACCCTTCTTTTACTGTAAAAAAGTAGGAGGACAGGGTGTTGTGCTGCAGGCTCCCTCACAAGGGGATATCCACAGCAAGAGGTCATGAGTTGCTGAACAGGAGTTTAGTGAGGGTGAAGAGAGAGATCACCTTCACTCAAGGACTTAGCAAACCCTTCCTGACCCTTCCTCAGAAAGATCTGGTTGCTCTAAAGAGAGGTAGCTGCATATCTACTTCAAATTGGTTTTGACAAAGTTAAGTTTTTTGACAAGTTTTCTGGCATTTGTAAATTTCCCAATTTCTTTATAGCTGAAAATCTTTTGACAGCATTAGGACTTTTAAATATAAAATACAGCATTCAAGATCTTTCTGCATCAGAATTTAGAGCTACAGCAGATTTTGTTTCTACCTCCTCTCCCCCAAAAATACACTTTAAAAAAATCTATAATAAGAATATTACTGAATTTCACAAAACAGAGTATTATTTTCTAAAAATTATTACTACATAATTTCTCTCCTTTGTTCCTTAGTTTACTACTTGGTTTTAGAAAATGTAGGTTGCTGCAGTGAAATCTTAAGGTATCATTTAAGCAAATGTATCGATAAACACGTCTGTGGCAGAAGCACCCCACATCTCTATTGTGGAACAGATAACAACTAGAAAAAATAAACAAACTGCAATAAAAAACTAAAGACAGAAAAAAACATAACAACCCCCCCGCCACTAAGCCTTCAGGTCCAGAGACAACTTTCAGTGGATGATTTGAAGAAAAAGAAGTTAACTTGATCCAACCTCCTTAATAACCAGATGCTTGCAATCATCAAAAATATATCTTTAGCTGAAACAATTTCTCTGTTCCAAAGCATTCAGTTTCTAAGAGCATTTACATAACAATATGTGACATTTGAAACGCTTAAGGCCACCAACCATGGCAGTACAAATTACAGTCATTTTTCAATACTCCATGCAAGGTGCACCACTTCCAGCACTGGGATTGGTCACATTCTGCGCTGGTTTCTGCAGCGAGACACCATCAGCATGCACCACAGTCACAAATAGCTTGTAACCTTTGAAGACTCATGCTAATAGGTGGATGAGGCTGATCTCCTTACCCGCCGTAGGCTGGAATTGGAGGAGGGGGTGCTGCTGCACGAAACGTGTTGTACACCGTGCGACCTCTGCCTCTTAGATGTGCACCTCTGTAAGCAGCAGCTGCAGTGGCAGCAGGGTAGGGAAATCCTGGCACTGGGAAGAAGAGGAATGAATGTAAAATAGTCAGATCAGTCTAGTGGTTTAAAACAAGGGTAACACAGCAGCATGTTTGCGCTTGTATCAAAGCTTGCCTGTAACTGGATGAGGGAGACACCAAATAAGTAAATCGATCTTTTAACCAGAGGTTTTGCCTTTTTACACAAAAACTGTGTGCAAACAGGAGAGAGCAAACTGGCTATTTAGATGGCAGTATCATAGGTGGCTCTGATTCTCTTAGAAGACACTACTAAAAATAATGTTGGCTGTTTTAGACATTCTGCTACCAAGAGACTCTTGAGGCCCTAGTCACCCCCCTCAGGTTCAAATTTGTAGTCTTAGAGACAATTCCATCACACAAATGGATCTATCTTCAAAAGTCAGCCCTGCTTTGAGTGGTGACAGATAACCTCCAGTGATGTAAATTATCTGTTCACTTTACCAATCAAACACAGCTTTGTTTCCATTCAAGAGTTCATAATTGTGTCTTAATTGTGAACCAAGTGAAAGACAGACAAAGCAGGAGTTTTCTCAAATTTTAGGGGGTATGTTCTTCATAACAGTACCAATTATTCCTTCAAAAGCAAGAGTTGCAGAGTTTGGAAATATCTATCTTAACTGAGCTAATATTCAGACTCAGTAGAAAATTGAAACATAAAGCAAATAACTCAGACATTTTTGTGTTGAAAGTGCAACTAATTACCATTCCATGTGAGACTTAAAATATTTTAATTGGAAATCGAATAGTGATACAGTACTACTTAAGAGTGGGTGGGTTTTTTTTTTTTCTGTAAATATCTCTAAAACATCTCCATAAACTTAATTAAAAAGAATTACCCTTATTTTTTTCTTTACTTTCTCTGTCAGTTTTTTAACCAATGCTTCACTACTTCATTTCTCCTTTGTACTTATATTGCTGGCCAATGTTAGAACAGGTATTTTTTTACAGAATTCAACAGTGAGACAGTGAAAATCAAATCCAGCTCTGTTGGCACTCAGTTTACCTCAGTTGTGCTTCACTGTGTTGAAGGTGTTTTTTTTTTAGTATGTAAATAAAGGATTAAAAAAAAAAAAAAAAAAGAAAAAAGTATTGCTTAGCAAAGCCCTAATAAGACTCAAGCGGAAGTAATAATGTATAAACCAGTCAGATTTTGAAGTCTGAAATACAAATTGATTTCAATCAATATTTGTCTTTCATCTAGTTTAGCACTGAATTTTAAAAGCCCTAAATTTGAAATGAAAAATTCACAACTTGTAACCATATGAAGGAAAATACTGGATTAACGGTGACTTCTCCATTACTACCTTATTAATGTGGCTTTGGGGCCTTGCCAGGTCCTCCTCACTGACAAAAACTTTATACAGTAATTCTGTAAAGACTTACACATATGTGATATAACAGAAACTAAACTTAGAGTGATACAAATAAATTAAAAGCCTTCTAAAAAGTGCAAATACTAGATTTTTATTCTTCTTTCTGTAAAAAGAATGTGTGTCAAACTCAGAATGTTTAACTTACAGAACTCAACGTACTATTGATATCTTTGCAAGCAACTGCATTTAAGAAGCCTTGAAGAAAGTCATAAGAAAATTTATATTTTTTAACATATATATCATGTATTTTGAAATCTGAATGCTGTACTTTTGCATTGTGTACAGTTCTGGTGTCCTCAACATAAAAAGGACATGGATCTGTTGCAACAAGTCCAGAGGAGGGCCACGAGAATGATCAGGGGACTGCAGCACCTCCCATATGAAGATCGGCTGAGAAAGTTGGGGCTGTTCAGCCTGGAGAAGAGAAGGCTGTATGGAGACCTCATAGCAGCCTTCCAGTATCTGAAGGGGGCCTATAGGGATGCTGGGGGTGGACTCTTCATTAGGGAATGTAGTGGTAGGACAAGGGATAATGGGTTAAAACTTAAACAGGGGAAGTTTAGATTGGATATAAGGAGGAAATTCTTTCCTGTTAGGGTGGTGAGGCACTGGAATAGGTTGTCCAGGGAGGTTGTGAATGCTTCATCCCTGGCAGTGTTCAAGGCTAGGCTGGACGAGGCCTTGGGTAATATGGTTTAGAGCGCGGTGTCCCTGCCCATGGCAGGGGGGTTGGAACTTGATGATCTTAAGGTCCTTTCCAACCCTAACTATTCTATGAGTCTATGATTCTACATGCAATAACATTGAACAGTGAACAGTATATACAGTACTGCTAAAATTGTGACCTACTGCAGAAGCCATTGTCCTCCTTTCAAGCAGTCTTGCAAACAAGTCCGTACAATGTGCATACAAAAAAGTGAAAGATAATTTTCAGCTGACTGAAGATACTAACAAACATTACAGTAAAAAGATCTACAGGCGATACTGTGGTTCCTCTGCCAGAGTGGTCTGTCCTCCCATACCAACAGATGAATAAATGGTACAATGCTCTAATAAAATTTTGTAGATGTAATTTAGCAATACATGTGAAAAATATGAGGGTTGGACATCACAGTTTCACTATTCACTTCTGTCCCTTCGAGAATGTATTTGTGAATGCCACATGCTGGAGACTTCTTGTCTTAGCCTAGACGATGCATGCAACATGCACTTTAAATGGTTGCTAATCATCACCATAACCATATTTATTACTTCTGAAAGAGAAACAAGGAAACGGACTAGAACTTTTCAGCACAGAAAGGAAGGGACTGTGGGAGTTATGACAAAGCTCCACAATTGTGAATAACAGAGTAAATACAGGAATTAAGCACCCATGGAACGTTCTGCCACTGGATGTTATGGATGTTAAAAGTTTAAAAGTTTATATGATTGAAAAGGATGAACACTTTCTTTGCAGAAAAACAGTATAAGCACATCAACTCTGGTTTACAAAGGCACTCCGAATTGTAAAAAGCTAACAGAATTTTCAAAGAACTATAAACCTACACTAGCTCCAGTCTTACAACCTTTCTTTAGGCATCAAGGTTTTGCTCCTTTCCAAATACAGGATATTGGACTAGATGAAGAACTAATCTAATCCAGTATGATTATCTTGATTATGTCTAGCTGCAGTCTGCCTGCATTAGAAAAAGGACTCCTTTCCACCTAGATGATGATAATTTCCAGAAGTACATTTCTGATAATTTGAAAGTTAATCTGTGCCTTTAAAAAAAAAATTCTGCTAACAAATTAGTGCTGAGAAGAATTTGCTTGAGCAAATGGCATGGAAAGGACTTGAGAAAAACTAGTAGCTGAAACTGTGGATACCTTAAATGCTAATCCTGAAGGTTGGTGTTCTACATCAAGCTTTAAAAAATTTAGTCTTTAGGGACATTCTTAAACTGCCAAGATTGACAGAAATTTCTCAAACCTAAAAGCCACAGACAAAAGAATTAGTGAAGTCTGACAACCTTTGAGCAGTTTGGACAACTTCTTCACTACCATGTGTATCTGTAGTTCTCTACATATTAATGGAAAACACACTTTCACAAGAAAAACAGAAGCTGTGATAAAAACCAAACCAATGCTCAAAGATCTGTTTCAGCAGTTAATCCACCTATGTCTGGCAGTATTTAAAGCAACTGTCTGCTTTCATTGAAATACTCAGGGTCCTAGAAAATCCTTATACTGCAAAAGTACTATTTGAAATTAGCACATCAATTCCTTCATACAGCCACATATGAAGAGTAGACCTATCTCTTTATTTTCATAAGTGAGTAAACACAGGTCTAATGAAAACCAACTGGAAATGTGCAGAAGCTGTATGCCAGTCACTGATGACATACCTCTCTGAAAGCATGAACTCCTAATGTGGAGTGAGTATTTTTTTTCCTTCTAATTGTACTATTCATTCCAGCTTTCATACAGACATATCAAAACATACATTTTGCAATCACTGAGCATTTATTCTAATCATCTTTTCACAGTGGACACACCTTGGAAAGAATTACAAGAAGGGCTGCTGACCTTAAATCTTTGACAGTGAATGGCTCTCTACAAAGAACTGTCACTGGAAAAAGCAGTGTCCCCATTAATGAAGGAGAACAGAAAATGTTGTTTTAAAAATATTACATTTTTATGAGAAAGAAGTCTTTCTCTTACAAAAGAGGAGAAAAAGCTGGAAAACAGAGACTGCAGGAAGAGTCACTTAGCTCCTAAGCATTTACCAAACCCAGAACCCATAATCGAAGCTCAGCATTCATGGGAGATGCAAACCAAGACAGTCATTTCTACCATTACCAAAGGATCTGCAACACAAAGGATGTGTTGGGATTAAAAGCTTTAAGTAATATAATTGTTTTGCTATGCTTAGCTTGTGTTGTCGCCTTCATAAAATCATGAAGCATAAAATGGCTACATTAAAGCAAAACACTAAAGAAGCTTGTAGAAGCAATCAGTGGAAGGTAGAGAATGATCTGGAGTTTTGTCAGGAAGAATATAAAACATGATGGAAACAAAGCCTGAGAAATACACAACTAAGAGTGACATTGCAAGGTCTTACGATCAACCAAGGCCTAAGAGTAGAGTTGTATGTTTAACAATTATATCCACTCATAAAGCCTGATTCGGGTCAGCCTGAAAATCAGAGTATGTGAAAAGATGCCTTCTATTTCCAGGTAGCAATATTAAAGATTTAGTTTAGAGGTAAAACTACCAACAAGATCATGTCACCCTAGATTTGAGTTCAGGCAAAACCGCCCCAACCCTCCTTCAGCCAGGCTGAGAAATCAGATGTGAGGAGTATGTCATAGCCACCGAATATATTTTGCTACCACTTTTTAATATTCCCACCCCAAAATAATCAGCAGAAGTGGCACCCTGGGAACACAACTGAAGAATGGACTTCATAAAGACAATTTAATGAAAAGATCTCTCCTGTCAGGAAGTATTAAGTGCTATTAACAAGCCCCAAATGTAATGAATATACTAGCCAGGAGGGATAAAGATTTGAATAACTTATAGTTTGTAGGTCAACCTTCCTTAGTGACTCAGTGCCAAACTGCTGAAACTCAGTCACTAAAATT